CTTCAGGTGTGTCAGCCACTGCTCCCAGTTTAGTGTCATCAGCAAACTTGCTGACTGTGCACTCTATTCCCTCATCCAAGTCATTGATGAATATGTTGAACAATACTGGCCCCAGTACCGACCCTTGAGGGACTCCACTGGATACAGGCCTCCAACTGGACTCTGTCCCATTGACCACTCCTCTCTGGCTTCTATCCTTCAGCCAGTTCGCAATCCACCTCACTACCCGATCATCCAGACCACACTTCCTCAGTTTAGCTGTGAGGATGCCGTGGGAGACTGTGTCAAATGCTTTACTGAAATCAAGATACACCACATCCACTGCTTTACCATCATCCACCCACTGGGTGATGTCCTCATAAAAGGCTATCAAAAAAGACTAACCTACTTTCCTTTGCGGGCACATGCAGCTTTCCTTCGCTTGTTGAACTCCCCTTACCTTAGAATAACAGAATCACAGAATGGTTTGGGTTGGAAGGGACCTTCTAGATCTTCTAAAAAGCTTTTGCTTTCCACTTCTCTCCCTGTCTCACTGGCAGGAACACCTGAGGTTTTGGTGGGCTGGTGGGGGCCAAACCCTGCAGAGATGGATGACCTGGCCAGTGGTGGGACAGGGCACATGCTGCCACATTGTCAGTGGTGGTCCTCTGGGCTCTGTCGTGTCCAGACTTTCTCTTGAGGCTGGCTTGAGCTTGACTGGGGAGCACAGATGTCAACTGGACAGCTGTGTATCTGGAGCTGGGACTTTTCCGCAGGTTTCTAGGCTTTGCTTTCAGAGACCAGCATACTCTCTGGCCTTCAACCTGCTGACCATCCTTCCATGTCTTCTCCCCTCGAGAAAGCGAGCATGAGCCCTGCACCCTCCCTTGCTGGTGGCTGCATGGGTGGCAGTAAGGCCGATATTGGAGAGCGCAGCAGGTAGTTGAGTGCAGGGGGAGGACCCCTGCACTGGGGGATCCTTTTTAAAGTACAGTCAGATTGAGCTTGGACTTCATGACCAGGCTTGGTCTTCCTCCCCGTGACGCTGCTATGGTGTGCAGACATTCAGCCCAGGCCTGAGTCACTCCTGGGCACCTTTCGCTGTGTGCAGAGGTGGCTCTGAAAGCGGAGGTCTGTACTTCTCAAACGGTCCCTGGGCTCATGTACACAATGGGTACGTGGGTTTAGGTCCTAGGTGAAATTCTAGTCTGGTTGTCACCCCAAAAAGGCCCTGATGAGTCTTTGCTGGCTGGGCAATCATCACTGGTAGAGAAGGGGTGGCCTGCACTGCTTGCCAGAATGAATTCTCTGCATTGATGGATTGCCATCTCCTGACTGTCTGATCTTTTCCTTTAGGATTTTGGGCCTTTCCTTCCCGACGTTTCTCCTCCTGAACTGTTGAGGTGGTTCCCATCTTCTTCTTAACAGCCCAGCCCTGTCTACCAGGCCTGCCGTGTGACGGTGTCCTGTCTCAGCTGAGCTGGGGACCTTGGCTGCCTGTGTTCTCTGGAAAGTCAAGCATGTGATCCAAAGGAGCATCTGCTGTGAGGTGAGATGAATCAGACCCCACATCCATTGAGCCTATTGCCTAAATCTTCACTGATTTTAAAGGAAAAGCTGACACTAAAGGCTCTGAAAGGGTCCAAGAGCCTGGTCACAAGCCCCTTGGATCATATGTCTGTTGGTAAGAGACTTGTGTTGTTGGTGGGAGGAGAGTAGAATGCACAGGAAGGTTTTGTGCACTGAGCAAGTCTCTTCAGTATCCAACTGAACTGAGACCGTGGCAACTATCAGGTTTGTATGACAGTGTTAAAAAAACAGGTGTATAGACACGTGGACAGCGAGAGCGTCAGCTCCCTTAATGTATGCAGTGGACCTTTGTAATGACTGGGGATAATAAGTGGAGGGGGAAATGATAAACAAAACCACACAGGGACACAAAATGGGTAGACAGGGGGTTCTGGAGACATGGCCAAAGACCTGAATTCTCCATTCATAGAATCATAGAATCACATAATGGTTTGGGTTGGAAGAGACCTTCAAGATCATCCAGTTCCAACCTCCCTGCCATGGGCAGGGACACCTTCCACTACATCAGGTTGCTCAAAGCCCCATCCAACCTGGCCTTGAACAATTCCAGGGATGGGGCAGCCACAGCTTCTCTGGGCAACCCATGCCAGTGCCTCACTACCCTCAGAGGGAAGAATTTCTGCCTTATATCTTACCTAAATCTCCCCTTTTTCAGTTTAAAGCCCTGTGTCCTGTTACTACATGCCCTTGTCCAAAGCCCCTCTCCAGCTTTCTTGTAGCCCCTTTAGGTACTGGAAGGCTGCTAGAAGTCTCCCCAGAGCTTTCCATTCACCTGGCTGAACAGCCCCAACTCTCTCAGCCTGTCTCCATAGCAGAGATGCTCCAGCCCTCAGATCATCTTTGTGGCTTCCTCTGGACCTGCTCCAACAGCTCCATGTCCTTCTTGTGTTGGTGACCCCAGAGCTGAATGCAGCACTGCAGGGGGGTCTCACGAGAGCAGAGCAGAAGAATCCCAGGACACGGTTGGCTTTCTGGTCTGCCAGCACACGTTGCCGGCTCATGTTGAGCTTCTCATCCACCAGCACTCCCAAGTCCTTTTCCTTAGGGCTGCTCTCAATCCATTCTCCACCCAGCCTGTACTTGTGCTTGGGACTGCCCCGACCCATGTGCAGGACTTTGCACTTGGCCTTGTTGAACTTCTTGAGGTTTGCACAGGCCCAGCTCTGGATGACATCCAGCCCACCCAGGTCCCTCTGGATGGCATCCCTTCCTTCCAACATGTCCTCCACACCACACGGCTTGGTGTTGTCAGCAAACTTGCTGAGGGTGCACTTCATCCCACTGTCCATGTCCTGGGGGAAACGGGGATGAGTGAGGGGCTCTGCAATGGCAGCTGGAGTGAGATCACAGGTCACAGCCCGTGTACCTGGCACTTGGTATTCAGGGTGAGCATGGGGTACCCATGAGATGAATGTGTGTGTGCCTCTGCTGATGAGTGGCAAGCTGGGCCAGCCAGCGAGGAGGAGACTCGTGGGGCTGGTAAGAGCGTATGGGATGGAGGCAGGGTGTTTGATGGATAGAGGGGCTGTGCTGGTGCTCGAGGGATCCAGGAATGTGCACGGCTGTCTGTATTTATGTATTTATGAGTCCTGTTGGATGCACGTGGGCGCTGTTGAAGGCAGCACTTTGTCCATGGCAGGTTGCCTCGCTGAGTCAGAATATGCGTGTGTGTGTGTGTTGTCTCCGGGATACACACTCAGCTTCAGAGTTGAACCTGCAAATGGGAAAGCAGCAGGCACATCCATTGTCCTGGGACGGAGACCCTCGGGTCTTGGGGCATCCTAGGCTGGGCTCCAGCAGCCAGGTAGGAGGAATCCCCAGGGCTGGAGCTGCTGGAGAGCCCTCTTATAAGAGGCTGGGGCATCTTACAACATACTTTAAAGAAAAAGTCTGTTTTCTTCTTCCACAGCCATGAGTTCACAGGGAGACATACTAGAGGATGATGAGAAGGCACATCTTGCTCAAAAACTACTGGCAGAAGCATGTGAGAAAGAAGGACTGGATAATCAATATTGGCTCCCCAAACTGTCGAAGATACTGGGAGTCAAGTCCAGAGAAGCCCTGAGACATCTGCAATATGAAGACTACCTTAAGCTGGAGTGCGAAGTACAGTACCCCTGGGAAACCAAAGCGCTCCGAAAACTCCTGGAACTAACAGACGACAAAGCAACTTTGGAGGAGTGCTTGGAGATGACAAAGCAGAGACAAGAAGCAGCCAAGCTAGCCCTGACAGAGCTGAAAGAAATGCACAGCAGCCACAGCCACAGTAAGGATGCTATAAGACGGAACGAGGAGGCTCTGTGGCAAGCCATGGAGATTCCCAGAGAGTCCTGGGCAACACTAGAGAAGTCGTTGGCGGATGTGCTGGAGAGCATGCAGAAGCAGCTGGAGCAGCAGGAGTCATCAGAGGGCAGAGGTGAGAACGTCTGCGACGCAGAGGTCCTGAGGCGGGCCTCGGGGGGACTGGCCCTGCAGGGCATCTACAGAACCAACAGCCTTGCGGATGTGCTGTCAAAGCGAGACCAGCTCCTCAGGGTTCCCAACGGATTCAGGCTTGCCGGTCCAGAGCAAGGGTCGCTGCTTGAGAGGAAGGAGTTCTCCTCCTCTGCAGCAGAAGCCACTTTCACCAAGGCCATGGAGCAGCTGGGGTTCAGCATCAGCGTTTCTGCCAAAGCCGGGTTCTAGGGGTTTAATGTTGAAGCTGGTGTAGATGATAGCAGCTCCTCGGAGTCAGAGGATACCTGCCACTCTCGCTCTGAGCAAAGCTACATTTGCACCACCAAGTACCAGTACATCCCTCTGGCCTCCTGCTACTTCCAAAAGCATCAGCTTCACCTCTCGGATTCGGCCCTGCGGGAGCTGCAAAACATCGAGCATCTTTTGAGCATCACTCAGGAAGCAGACAGGCTCGATATGCTGAAGAGCAGGTGTGCAAGCTTCTTCAGCAGGTTTGGGTCCCACGTAAACCAGGGTCCCGTCCACTTTGGGGGATATTCTGGTGGAAGGCATCTATGGAAGGATTCAAAGCTGAGCAGCAGGAAGAGATGAAGCGACTAACATCTGAAGCATTGAACCGTTATGTCGGGGCCAGCTACAGCGGCTTCGGTGTCAGTGTGGGAGTGGACATGGACATTTCAAAATCCAGCTCACAGGCTTCTTGTCAGGCAAGAGATGGAAGGAGGGCTCACACAGCGGTTCAGCTCTGCATGACTAAGACGGGGGGCCCGTCAGAGACGGATTCTCTTCCTCAGTGGAAGCTGGGGCTTGTAACTAATAAAACAACCTGGTGTGTTATCGACCGAGGCTTTCAGCTGATCCCAGTGTGGGACATTATCCTGTTCAATCATAGCAGTGATTTTAAGTCCATCCATCAAATGAGCAGCAGCCTCAGGGCTGCGTACGAAGCACTGACAAATTGCAGTGTCGGCACCATGTTTGGAGAGGAACTGCTCAGTGCGGTGGAAGAGGCCAGGGCTATCGTGGAAGGTGTGAAGGCCTGGGAGGTGACGGTGGATGAAAGGAAACTGCTTACCCTGATGGATTTCAAACAGAATTTGAAAGAAAAAACCAAAAACCATAGTGTCTGGATCAACGTATGCCTGTCAGACAGAGCACTGCAAGAGTTCCTTGTGAATACCGTTCTGTTTTGCAAGAAGTCATCTCCAGAAAACACCATCTATATCAAGGCTCTGTTGAGGTGCCTCCTGGATCCTCATGTCTATTCTGTCAAGGACTTCCCCAGGTCTTCCTTCATTATGCAATGGATCTTCCAAACTGAGCACATGCTTCCCGAAACTCCCAATGTTTCTGAGCTTGAAGATCTCACCCAGACACTGCTGCAAATGAAGGACTACATCCAGGAAGTCACCTACGCACCAGGAACTTCTGCATCTGCCATTCATGAAGCAAAGATAAAAGCCACCTTGACTGCGAGCCAAGCTGTTTATTTCTTACTCCAGTTTCTCCAGGAAAGGGCACAGAAAGACCTAGAACTCTTGGTGCTCTTAATTACGACCAGCACGGGATACCAGGTGGAAAGGAGCACTTTTCAGTACCTCCTTGGATATCCAGAAATTAGCTTCATGATAAATGAATTGCAAACCGGACATAAGGAGTATCTGAGCCTGAAGGACCAAGATGTTTACAGAGCCCAGGCCTTCCTGCTGCTGATGGGTCTAACCGTAACACCTGAACATAAAGCCGTGTCCTTTCAGCAGAAGAATGAGCGTTTAGTTTTCATGAAAGATCAAATGAAAAACTTATTGTCCTCAGAGATAACAACTCTCCTCGAAAAGCACAGTGCATTCAAAGACTGGGAGATGCTGGAAAGCGACTTGCGGTCCTTTGTCAATGGGTGCTTGGATGATACATATGACGATCTGAAGAAACACAATATAATCAAAGACATGGAAGACACTTTTCAAAGAACAGAGCCTTCCAGTCAGTCCAAACCCAAATCAGACGGCAGCGAACCCAAAGAAAATCGAGCCATTGCAAACCAAGAGTTCCTCCACTTACTTAAGCACCTTGGACTAGAAAGTCACTATCCAAGAAAAATGGGGACAGAAGATTTCCATGTCATATGCAAGACATCTTTGTATGACAGCCAGCCCAGCACGGACAATGAACTGCCGTTTTACTTCTTGCAAAAGCTGTTAACCGTGGATTATCGGGTGAGGTACCTGACTCGCAAGGATGAGACCAACCCAGGACTCACACCTGTGCCAAAAACCACAGAGCAAAAGCAGGAACCCTCGGACTCCTTTGATGACTTTTTTACTGATTTGGAGGAAGAAGCCCCTGAATCTGCAACGGGGGAGAGTTGTATGGACCTCCAGATGGCAATCTTTCATTGCGCCGATGATTTCATGAGACAGTACATTTCAACAAAGTACAGTACATTTCTTCCAGTACCTCAAGGGGGCCTACAGGAAAGATGGGGAGAGGCTGTTCAGGAGGGCCAGTTATGATAGGACAAGGGGTAACGGTTTTAAAATAGAGGGAGGTAGGTTCAGGTTGGATATTAGGAAAAAATTTTTTACCATGAGAGTGGTAGAACACTGGAACAGGTTGCCCAGAGAGGTGGTGGATGCTCCATCCCTGGAGACGTTCAAGGCCAGGTTGGACAAGGCCCTGAGCAACCTGATCTAGTTGGAGATATCCCTGTTCCTTGCAGGGGGGTTGGACTAGATGACCTTTGAAGGTCCCTTCCAGCCCTAACCATTCTATGATTCTATGATTCTATGAAAGCTTGCTTTCTGCCAGTTTGCACTACCTCTCCTGGTACCAAACCCGTGCACTTCACAGATAGAGTTCCCCCTCTGGTCCCTCAGCCAAATCAAAAAGAGCTGGAAAGGGGCTGAGAAGTCGGGAAAGCAGGTCAGAATCAGTAGTTACAAAAACAAACTCATTTATCAGGTAGAGACACCCATCGTGTCCTTCATACGGATCGGCACTTCTCCCTCCTCTTCCAAGTCTCAGATCCTGAATGCTCTGCTCAGCAAACAAAAGCATGACACTTTCTTCCACCGACATTGCAAAGGCAGCACCAAAGATTGTTTGCTGATGAAAGGTGTTGTGGAGATCTCCTGGTACTGTCCCCGGGGCAGTGACGATGACAGCTTTGACTGCTGCATTGCTTTCTGCAACCTGCACGGAGATGCAAGGGATCACGAAAAACAGCTACAGTTTTTACAGGAGATATCTGCTGTGAACGTGGCTCTCGTGTCCCAGTCTGATCAGAGTGACAAGAAAGGGATGAAAATTTTACGGGACCTGTGGCAGTCACAAAGGCCTCTGGTTTGTCTTTTCACTGAGAAAGAGAATGTTGCTGCTGGCCGATCTCGCCAAAACATAAAAATAGGTATCAAGAACAGAAATGAAGCAGAACTAATGAATGAGCTGAAAAAAACAATCAGGCATCTCCTGGAAGGGTCTGACACACTTTTCAGCCTTGATGGCTGCCTAGACAAAGCTCGCAAGCACGGATTCTTAGTCGATGAAGATTCAGACGCATGTGTGACTGCCAAAGAAGAGGCAAAGGCACTGGTGAAGCTTCTGAAGAAAGAGAAGTTGTGTGAGATCAAATCCCAGCTACTGCCTCTCCAAGGAAAACTGTGGTACACGTGGTGCCAAAAAGACAAAGAACTCACTCGCCTGCAGGAAAAGAGGAACAAGAGCATAGAGCATCATCGGAGCCAAATTGAATCAGAGAAGTCAGCAATAAGAAGAAAGCAACTAGACAAAGCGTTCCCCCTCAACAAACTGATGAAATCAGTCCTTGGCTTTCTCCAGTCACAGTCAACAGATACCAAGAAATACTTCCTGCAGTGGATGAAGGTCTTTATGGATGACCTGTCCTCTGATCGCCTTGACGAACTGAAGAGACAATATCACCAGTTATGGTCTAAAATTCTGGCAATGAAAAAAAGCAATGAAAAATACAATCTGAAATCTCAGTTGCTGAATAATTTAGATGCCCTCTCCAATGAAATCAATGATTCGTCCATTGGCCTTGAGCATATTTTGAGAGAAGTAGGGCAGATTTATGAAGCTCTGCAATCGACGAACTCAGAGGATGAATGTTTTGTCAAACTACCTGAAATTGCAGCTGGTCTGATGGTTTCAGGGTATCCCATCGAGCTGATGGATGGTGATGCTTCTTACATACCATTACGATGGGTTGGAGCAATCTTTGACAGATTAATTGAGAAGCTGGGGGACAAACGAGTATTTGTTCTTTCGGTGCTTGGCATCCAGAGCACGGGGAAGTCAACCCTGTTGAATGCCATGTTTGGTCTTCAGTTTAACGTCAGTGCAGGGAGATGCACCCAGGGAGCGTTTATGCAGCTAATTAAAGTGGATGAGAAGCTGCAACAGGATTTGGACTTTGATTACGTGCTAGTTGTTGACACAAAGGGTCTTCGTGCCATAGAGATGGTCAATAAACAGTCCCTTAACCACGACAACGAGCTGGCGACCTTTGTCATTGGCATCGGCAACATGACCCTGATCAATATCTTTGGAGAGAATCCTTCAGAAATGCAAGATGTACTTCAAATTGCTGTGCAGGCTTTTCTGAGGATGAAGCAAGTTAATCTTTCTCCAAGCTGCCTGTTTGTGCACCAAAACGTGGGAGAAATAACTGCCAAGGAACAGAACATGGAAGGACAAAGACGTCTG